GGCCCCTCCCGCTACGCGACCCACGGCTACCGAGTCCGTAGGGGCGCCGCCAGCCGTCAGCGCTACTCCTGATCCCCTCCCCGAGCGCGAGGGGCCCGGCCGCCTCGAACGGCAGCAAGGGCGAGCCCCAGACACGCCCATCCAGGGGTCCTTCTGCCCGATCGCAACGGACAGCCCGCGCATCCAGAGCGGCGACTACGCGGCCACCAGGGGCGACGCCCTCCCCCGTGCCAGGCGGTTCAGTTCAGCGGACAGCGGCGAGCCCCTGTCCAACGCAACCCCTGGACGGAGCGGTATTCGGACCCGTTCTGGGCGCCCTGGCCCGTGAACAGGACGGGCGAACCCTCATCGTCCAAGTCGATAACGAGTGGCTGGAAGTCTGGGGCGCGGGTACCAGGACGCTCCGCGCGAACGTCCTCCGCGGCGACGCGGCGACCCAAGCGGCCACCTTCCTGGGCAGGACCTCCGACGAGGCGCGCGAAGCGCAGTCACCAGCGGCCCCCGCTAGCTCCTGGCTCGGCGCCAACATCGGGAGCGCCGACGCGACGTCCGCAGAAGGGACTCAGCCCGACTCCAAGCCTGAACCTTGCGCGCCGCGCACGGACACACAAGACCCCACCCACGAGCCGGCACCCCTCGCGCACCTTAAGGAGGAGGACCCTGACTACACCAACGACGACCAGGAGCAGGAGCAGAAGCAGAGGCTTGCGGAGGCCCCAAGCATGGTCCAAGCGGTCTCTCCCTCCTCAGACCCCGACACAGTCGAGGAGGGCCAAGCCAAGTTGAGCCCTCGTGACGAGCGACGCAGCAGTCCCGAGCGCGACTCAAGCAGTACGTACCAGACCCAGCCAGCCTGCGCACCCACGGAACCGACCGCGTTTGCGACGGCCGCCGCCGACGGCCGCGCCCTGCACGCGCGGCCCAGATCCAAAGCCCAAGAAGGCAGGCGCCCCGCACTCAACCCCCTCCCCGCACATGAGTTAGAGCGCGTGCGCGGCAGGGCGCGGGATCCAGTTCCCTGGGAAACGCACGAGACTGCGGCGAGGCGCTCGCCCAGAGAACCTAGCGACCGGGCCCGTGCCGGGGAGCACGTCCGCGACCGAGACCGCGACCGCAACAAAGGCGTAGAGTGGGCCCCGTGGCGCAAGCAAGACATCAACGACTGGGACAGAGCCAGAGAGCGCAACTGGGACCAGGACCGCGACTGTGGCAGGGGCACAGGGTGGACCCCTTGGCGCCAGCCAGAAGGTCAACGCAGCTCTCACCACAGGGGCGATCGCCGTTACCCTGACCCCAGCCGCCCACGGACAATCCATCGCGTCAGCTGGCCACGCCGCTCACACGAGACAGTAGTCACACACCTGAAGAGGCCGCAGGCTTAGGGAGGATACCACTTCACCGCAGCCCGGCACTCGCGGCGCAGGCATATTTGCAAGGAGCAGGGCAAAGGCAAATGCAGGGCAAAGGCAAATCCAAAGACCAGGTTGCGTTCGACCCGAACTGTTGGCAGCCCGAGATAATCGACAAATTTCTGGAGGACATGGACAGCTGCAACCACCACGCGGAGACGCGGCCTCGGCACGCCGGCGCCCACGTGGACTGGGGCCGGGAAAAGGCCCTGCACCAGAATGTCCAGAAGAAAAGAGAGGTTGCCAAAGGTGAAGGGCGCGGGGAGAGCCAGGCGCGCAGCTCCGGGCACGACGATAAATGGACCGGGAAGCGCCCCAGGCGCTGACCAGCCTGCAACCGGCCCCCTTTGTGAGGCGCAGCTCGCCGCGACCGACTTCTTCCTTTCTCTCCGATTTACGGCGAGATCCTTGTGCAACCCACCGATGGCCACGCCCGCCACCTGATCCCCCTCCCCCCTCCCCTTTGCCCCCTGGTTTGGGACCGCGCGTCCTCCTGATCCCCCCACCTGTTCCCCCGCGGCCTTGGCTGGATGGCCGGCCCAGGAGCCCGGCAGCCCACGGGCGCCCCCGTCGCGCACGCGGGACAGGCGCGCGCAGCATGACGGGCGCCGTGGCGGTGCACATGGTACGTGCACGGCTCCACCAGACGGCCTGGCACGCCGGCGATACCGCCCCCCATCCCCACCGTTCCACCTGCTTATGGGACCGTTTGTCCCCCTGGTTCCTTGGGCCCCCCCTCTTCTGGACCGCCCGGGCCTGCCTGTCCAAGCGCAGCGGCGTTTGTCAACTGGCCCACCGGGCCCCCGTCTGCCCCCCACCCCCGTTTTTGTTTTTAACGTGTATTGGGACCGCGTGTCCCACCTGATCCCACTGGGTGCCCAGCACCCATGTGAGCACCTACGGCGCGGGCTGGCACGTCGACGGCTGGCGGTTAGCGCCGGCCCTTCTCGCCCCCGTTCGTTTCTTCCCCTCCCGCTCGCTTCCGCCCCCCCCCCCCCCCACCACATGGCGGCAGCGCCCGGCACTGCGCGGCTTCGGCCCGGCGCCACCTTGCCGCCTCGGCGGCCCCGCTCGCCATGGCGCCGCGCGGCTCAGGCCTGGCCCTTGGCATTGCGGACGTCAGCGCGTCGTGCGTGGCTGCTGCCCGTCTTCACGCGCTGTCGATGCAGGGCAGGTTTCCCCCCTGCAGCTCACCGAATTCCTGTCGGTCATGGACGGCCCGTTCGTTTGGAGGCCGCACCTCAAGCTACACTGCTTCCTGGTCGCGGATTGGCCTACCACCCCGGGCCTCCTGCGTCATCTGGTGGCACAACGTTGCTCATCGCCTTCGCGGTGCTCTTCTTCCTCCTGGGCGTCGACCTGGTCAAGTGGCGCGTCCCCCCCAGCAGTGCTTGAGGCGGGCGTTTGCGAAGTGCCGTTGACGGCAACACCATTTCCTTCGCATTCCGGGTCTTCGCACTCGGTCCTTGTCCAAGGCGTACCTTTTCCTGCACATCCACTTCGGCGCCGCCCGTTCCCCGGGCCCCGCCCGCTCCGGCCGCCTGAGGCACCGCCTTCCTGTGCCTTGTATCCCTAATTAGAGCTGCGCGTAGCCCGCCTAGCTTTTAGCGGAAGAGGTTCGCTCTCGCCCCGCAGATCAAAATGTGTGTGAATGTGCATGCGCATGTGCATTGTGCATGTGTATGCGCATGTGCATGTGAATGTGAATGTGAGAATGCGAATGTGGATGTGCATGTGCATGTGAATGTGTGTGCGTGTGTGCGTGTGTGTGTGCGTGTGTGCGTGTGTGCGTGTGTGCGTGTGTGTGTGTGTGTGCGTGTGTGTGTGCGTGTGCGTGTGTGTCTGTGTGTGCGAGAGTGTGTGTGCGCGAGTGTGTATGCGTGTGCGTGTGCGTGTGCGTGTGTGTGTGTGTTTGTGTGGGCGTGTGTGTGTATGTGCGTGTGTGCGTGTGTGTGTGTGGCGTGTGCGTTGTGGTTGTGCGCGTGTGGTGTTGTGTTTGTGTGGGCGTGTGTGTTGTGTGTGTGTGTGTGTGTCCGTTGTTTGCGTGTGCGTGTATGTGTTTGTTGCGTGTGTGCGTGAGTGTGTGTGTGTTTTTCTCTGTGTAATGGAGTGTGTAGTGAGGGTATGGAATGGTGTGTGATGTTGCGATGCTACCGTTTCGCTGGGTGGGTGGGTGGGTTTGTTGGGTCGTGGTGGCGTGTGCGTGTGTGGCGCGCGTGTGGTGTGGTGCGTGTGTGTTGTGTGCGTGTGCTTCCTGGTGTGCTTGTGGCGTGTGTGTGTTGCGTGTGTGTGTGTGTGGCCGTGTGAGTACGTGTGTGCGTGAGTGTGTTGCGTGTGCCGTGTGCGTGTGCGTGTGCGTGTGTGTGGTTTGTGTGTCTGTGTGTGTGTGTGTCCCTGTGTGTGTCTCTGTCTGTGTGCCTCTGTTGTGTGCCTCCTGTGTGTTTCTGTTGTGTGTGTTAGCCAGGCAGTCAGTCAGCCAACTGGCTGCCTGCTTTCCTGACTGGCTGACTGACTGGCTGACTGGCTGGCGCGGGGCTCGTTCGGCCCAAATCGGAGCTCTCGCCCGGGACACCCGCACAAAGTCGGCCGCAGGGGAGGGGCTGATTGATCGGGGGGCGGCTGACTGGCTTGCTGATTGACTGGCGGAGCTGCCTGACTGACTGACTGACTGACGGGCGTGGCTGACTGATTGACTGACTGACCGACTGGCTGGTTGGCTGGCTGGCTGGCTGGCTGACTCACTGACTCACTGACTGACTGACTGACTGGCTGGCTGATTGACTGGCGCTAAAGCTCCGGACGCCCCCCATCAGTCGAGTTCACGGGAGAGGCCAAAAAACCTAAATTGGCGCTTTCGCTCAGACCAACCTCACAAAGTCGGCCACAGCGAGGGGGCTGACTGACTGGGGGGGCAACTGACTGATTGTCTGATGGACTGGCTGACTTACTGATTGAATGACAGACAGCGGGGCGGCTGACTGACTGACCGGCGCTCTCACTCGGAACACCCTCACAAAATTGGTTTATGAGGAGGAGCCATGATTCCTCAATGGGCAATCTCGCTTGGGACACCCCTACAAAGTCTGCCCAGGAACTCTCACACCGGTGCTCTCGCTCGGAGCACCTTCACGAAGTCGGCCCCAAGGGAGGGGACAAGACTACCACACTCGCGCTCTCGCTCGAAGCACCTTCACAAAGTCAGCCCCAGGCGATGGGCAGACTGACTGGCGGGGCCGATGATTGACTGACTCAGTGGCGGGGCTGACTGACTGACTTACTAGCGGGTCGCCTGACTGACTGACCAGCGCTCTCGTTCGGGACACCCTCATGAAGCCAGCCCCAGGGTAGGGCCCAAGAATCCCACAATATAGCAGTTAGTCGGTCAGCCAGCCGCCCGAGTCCGTCAGCTGGTGCTATGCTTCGGAACAGCCAGTCAGTCAGTCAGTCAGTCTACCGAGCCAGTCAGTCGGCCTTAGTTTTTCTGGCTCAAGCTGTCGCAATCGTGTCTCGGTGATTGTCTTCAATGCACGCAGTCTTGCCAGTCGCCTCAGTTGAACATGTGCTTTGCCCCTACACGAGCTCGTCGCATCGATGAATGCTCATTTGAAGCTGTTTTGCTATCTGGCTGTGCTTGCCGATGCGTATGCTGAGCCCGGCCGTGCCGCCCTTGCAGACAGCGTGGGTGAATTTTCGGTCAAGGGGAGTCGGGAAGGGGTGCGGCTGTCGTACCAGTCCACCGTGGAACAGAGGCTGGGCGATTTATGGACGAAGGTCATGCCGGCTTTCAGTCGGATCGTTGCGTTGAGGCGAAACATCACGGAGATGAAGAAGTTGGCGTGGCAGTTTGGCCTCGGACCCGACGCCATGTGGGTCCGCATCGTCTGGTTGTACGACTTATCTCGTTGGTTGACGAAGCATGGTTTGAGTTCTCCATGATTGTTCTTGAAATTGTCAGACGACGATCCCGAATTTGGGCTGTTCGCGCCGAACAGAACCGTGAGCTGGACACATGGCTACACCACGTTGCATGGGAGCGACGTTGTGGGCGATCTTCACTACCCTCTGCCACAACATATCTCGGAGGTAGATTTCGTTTTGATATGCGAAACCTTGGAGCATTTGTACGATCCGCTGCGCGCTCTCGTGCATCTTCGCGATGCACTGAGGGAGGGCGGCCACATGTTTATTTCTGTGCCTACCAACATTGCGCCGCACATGACGCCATTCCACTTCCAGCAGTTCACGCTGATGGGACTCGGAGTGCTGGTTGTGCGCGCAGGCATGGAGGTCGTTGAGGCAGGGCAATGGGGCAGCAAGGAATACGAGATCATGATGTTTTCTGATTTGCGAGAACTCATACGCTTTCAAACAGGGAAGCTTGACGGGCGGTGGCCCGGTTACGGGAGACTGCGCAATTTGGTTGGCGATGTGGGCCACGTGGACCACGTCTGGATTCTCGCTCGAAAAATAAGATTACCGAGTCAGTCGGTCAGTCAGTCAGTCCGTCAGTCAGCCGCCCCGCCTGTCCGTCAGTCAGTCAGTCGGACAACGGGTCAGTTCGCCGTCCCGCCAGTCAGTCAGTGAGTCAGGCGCTGGCAGACTGACAGACTGATCGACTCACGGACTGAACTGCGGGGCCAACCGACCAACTGACTGATTGACCGGCTGTCGCTGTTTTGCTTGGGACATCCTCACAACGGCGGCCCCGGGGGAGATGCCAAGACTCTCATACTGGCGCTCTCGCTCGGAACGCCCTCACAAAGGCAGTCCAGGGGGGAATAGGAGGAGGAGGAGGAGGAGGAGGAGGAAGGTAAGGAGGAGGAGGAGGAGTGGAGGATGAGGAGGATGAGGGAGGAGGGAGTGAGGAGGAGGAGGATGAGGAAAGAGGAAGGAGGAGGAGGAGGAGGGGGAAGCGACGCCGGCCGACCGGCTGGAGGATGCGGCCCATGCAGCCTTCGCGCCTCGTTGACGGACCGGCCGGCGCTCTCGCTCCGGGCTTCTTCACAAAGTCGGAGGAGGAGGAGGGAGGAAGAGGAGGAGGAGGAGGAGGAGGAGGAGGAGGAGGAGGAGGAGGAGGAGGAGGGGGAGGCGGCGCCGACCGACCGTCTGGACGATGCGGCCCATTCAGCCCTCTCGCTTGCTTTGCGGTCTGCGACTGGCCGAGAGGCTCTTTCCCTTCTCCTCCTCTGTTGTGCTGTGCCCACTCGTGGCGTGTGGCTGTCGCCACCGTGGATCCTCTCGGACATGCACTTCTTTCGTCACCGTGTACGCCTCAGTTGTGTGATGGCCTGGTGTGCATCATCTCACTCCCTGCGCCCTGCAGGGTGATCTCTTCCCTTGCCCTGCTCCGCGGAAAGGGAAAAGCCCTCGGCGCTCGGGGCAAGGACTTGCGGAGGCAAAACCAGGGCGGCTTTGCCAGCGGCTTGTAGGACTCGAGTTTGAGGGACTCGGGCGTGTCGTGGCTGTTTGCCAGCGTGAATTTGTCGGTTCAGATGTCGTTCCTAATTCTTTACGCTCTGCGTATCCGCGCCACCCCAGCCAGAAACGATGTCCATGAGAGTTGCTCGGATGAGCAGACTGAAGGAGGGGAGGATGAGGAGAACGAGGAGGAGCATGAGGAGGAAGAGGACCAGGAGGAGGAGGACGACGACGACAAGGATGGAGCAGGAGGAGGAGGAGGAGGAGGAGGAGGACCAGTGTAAACCCAAGAGGCATCAACGATGTTAGAATAAACCCTCCCTCCCTCCAAGCTTCCTCTTCATAGGCCCCTACAACAGTTGATTTTTACTAGGGAAACTGCCTCGTTGGAATTGCTTGAGACCCTGAAGCATGCCAAAACATCGTTCTCGGGATTCCAACGCCACGGATCAACCTCATTGTTGCGTCTCGACCATCCTGAATCGTGCCAGAACGCCATTCCTGGGACTTGAACACCGCGAACCGACATAATTTGTGCACCCTCATAAGCCGGAATCCTTCGAAAACACCACTCCTGGTACGCTGGATCATGGGAACCCGTGGAACTGCTGCAAATGTTTAAGACGAATGCGCGCGGCGCTAAGGCGAGAGCCACATGTTGGAAAGAAGCCACCCTCAATCCGTGAAGCTCTTGCATATGGTTAAGACGAATGTGCGCGGCGCTGAGGCGAGAGCCACATTTTGAAAACGATTCGCCCGCAATCAGTGAAACGCGTGCAAATGTTTAAAACGAATGTGCGCGGCGCCAAGGCGAAAGCCATACATTGAAAAGGAACCGTCCTCAACCCGTGAAACTCTTGTACACGTTTAAGACAAATGTGCTTGGCGTTCAGGCGAGAACCACATTTTGAAAACGACTCGCCCTCAACCCGTGAAACTCTCACAAATGTTTAAGACGAGTGTGCGCGGCGCTACGGCGAGAGCCACATTTTGAAAACGACCCGCCCTCAATCCGTGAAGATCGTACAAAAGTTTAAGACGAATGTGCGCGGCGCTACGGCGAGAGCCACATTTTAAAAACGACCCGCCCTCCATCTGCGAAACGGTTGCCAATCTTGAAGTTTGAGGGTCATACGTGGCGAGGAAGTCTCAGTCGGAACGCCCGGCCCGCCCTGAGAACTGGCCCCGGGCTGCGACAGGGAGAAGTCATGTAGAAGGAGAAGGGATGGAGGAGGAGGAGGATGAGGAGGAGGAGGAGGAGGAGGAGGACGGGGAGGAGGAAGGGGAGAGGAGAAGGGTGAGGGAGAGGAGGGGGAGGGGGCGGCAGTGTGCGCGGACCTTTGCTGTGAGAGCCGCTCGGAGGACTCGGGGCCGTCCCGTGGTCCCCTCGCGGCGCTCGCGGGGCCCTCCTTGGGCCCTCCCTGTGGCCCCGTGGCCCTCGACGTGGCACCGGCTGCCCCCGCGGCCCTCGATGTGTCGCCGGCTGCCTGTGGCTCTCGACGTGTCACTGGTTTCCTGTGGCCCTCGACGCGTCAAGTGCTGCCCCCCTGTGGCCCTCGGCGTGTCACCGGTGTGGCCCCCGGGGGCCCCGCATCCTCAAGGGTGTCTGCGGCGACCCGTCTCCAGGCCCATGTCCTCCGAAGGCGGGGAAGGGGCTTCTTTCTCGGCTCCCGAGGGGCCTGTCCCCAGCGTCGGGCAGCGTTGTCCCCGACTTGGGCTGAGCTGTTGATTTGCGGCCTGCCTGGAGCACGACCCCCGCATTCACTAGAATTCGAATGAGCCTGCTCCATCCCTCCCCGCATCTCCTCCCGCATCCTCCTCCTCGGAGTAGGAAGAGATGAAGGAGGATGAGGAGGAGGAGGAGGTGGAGGAGATGGAGAACGAGGATGACGAGGAGGAGGAGGAGGAGAAGAGGACTTCTCCCCCCTCCCCATTCCCTCCTTCCCGCCGTCCCTCCCTCCCTCCCTTCCTCTTACCCTCCTCCCTCTGGCCCTCCTTCCTCCGTCCTCCCTCTCTCTCACTCTCTCTCTCTCTCTCTCGCTCTCCCCCCCGTCCCTCCCTCTCCCTCCTCCCCCCCTCTCCATCCTCCCTCCCCCGTCCCCCTCTCTCCCCTCCGTCTCCTTCTCCTTCTCCTTCCTCGTGTTCCTCGTCCCCCCCGTTCCCTCAGCCATGGCCCTCGCGTTCCTCCCCCCCTCCCTCGGACCTCGATCACCTTCCTCCTTCCCGGTTCCTCCTACCTGCCGTCTTTCTCTTCTTCTGGACCGTTCCCCAGGGTGCATTATGTGCGCGCCCCCCTTGGAAGCTTAGAGGACATAGTGGACCTTCGGAAGTTCGTGACAATGGAACTGGCGAATCTGGAGGCGCGCGTGGCGGGACGTGCTGCTTTCTTGAAAGGGATGCTGAAGATGTGAGGAGGGGGAGGAGGAGGAGGAGGAGGAGGAGGAGGAGGAGGAGGAGAAGAAGGAGGCGACGGAATAGGAGGAGGTGGAGGAGGATGTGGAGGAGGAGGAGGCGGAGGAGGAGGAAGAGGAGGAGGAAGGGGATGGGGGCGGAGTGAGGAAGGGGGGCCAGAGGAGCCAGAGGAAGACTTGGATGAGCAGGAGAGTGTGGAGGAGGAGAAGGAGGAGGAGAAGGAGGAGGAGGAGGCGAGTGGAGGGGATGGGCATGTTCCGAAGACCCCCTCGCAGCCACACGGCCTGCCAGAACGATCCCCGCACGGCTCCCGAAAGCACTCGCAAGCACCCTAGCAACCACAAAAGCCTCGAACATGCATCACGGCATGCACGTGCCGTGCCGTGGCGTTGGCCTGCTCTGCCGTTCGGGCTGCCCTCGGTGGACGCATGTCCTCGAGGAAAGGGAGGACGTACTTGGGGGCAGTCCTCGAGGTAGGGGGGGGGAGATGTGCGGACCCGGAGGAACAGGAGGAGGCGGAGGAGGAGGACGAGGAGGAGGAGGAGGAGGAGGAGCAGCAGCAGCAGCAGGATAAGAAAGAGAAGGCGTTGAGCAGGGAAAGGAAGGACGTACCTGGGGGCAGTCCTCGAGGTAGGGGGGGGAGACGTGCGGACCCGGAGGAACAGGAGGAGGCGGAGGAGGAGCAGGAGGAGGAGGAGTGGAGGGGGAGCAAGCAGGATACGAAAGAGGAGGCGCTGATGCAGGAAAGGGCGGGTTTTTTGGGAGGAGGGCATGAGGGAGGGGGGAGGCGCGGTTTTTTCCTCCTCCTCCTCCTCCTCCTCCTCCTCCTCCTCCTCCTCCTCCTCCTCCTCCTCCTGAGCCTCCTCTCCTCCCTCCTCCCTCCTCCCTCTTCCCGCACATACACCTCCTCCCGCCTCCCTCCTCCCTCCTCCCTTCCTCCCTCCTCCCTCCTCCCTCCTCTCCTCCATCCTCCCCTCCTCCTCCTACTCCTCCTCCTCCTCCTTATCCTCCTCTCCTCCTCCTCCTCCTCCTCCTCCTCCTCCTCCTCCTCCTCCTCCTCCTTCCCCTCCTCCTCCTCCTCCTCCCTTCTCCTCCTCCTCCTACTCCTCCTCCTCCTCCTCCCCCCCCCCCCCCACTCCTCTCCTCCTCCTCCTCCCTCCTTCTCCTCCCTCCCTCCCCCCCCCTCCCTCCTCCTTCTCTCTCCCCCTCCTCCTCCTCCCTCCTCCTCCTCCTCCTCCTCCGTCCTCCTCCTCCTCCTCCTCCTCCTCCTCCTCCTCCTCCTCCTCCTCCCGAAAAAAGCACAGGGAATGGACGTCCGAGCGATGGCCAGGCCCCTGCACCGCACGCCCCATCCAACTGCGCCGAATCTCTCGCCATCGCCGAGCTGGGCGTCGGATCGGGACTGGAGTCTCAGGCAGGCAGTGGCGAAGCGCCCTGGCTCGCCTGTAATCCCACCAAAGACTGTTCTAAGAACCTTTCGTGGTTTGCGCGACATGTTCTTAGAACATTTCTGCTCGAGATTGTCGTG